AACTAGTCTTCTACCAGGCTACAATCCATCACTCTCCCTAAGTTCGCAAAACTCTGGAATTTGTGTAGTACCTAGGATAGCAAAGTCCACTAAAGGAGGTAGAGCTTTTTCACATTTGGCTCCCAAACTCTGGAATAGCCTTCCTGATAACGTTCGGGGTTCAGACACACTCTCTCTGTTTAAATCTAGATTAAAGACACATCTCTTTGGCCAAGCATTCAAATAATGCATCTCATAATCTTGTACTGCAGTTATATCTGATCAATTGTACATTATTATTCTTTAGCTTGGGTTAAACAAATAAATTTTGCTTGGTGTTTCTCTGTTTCTGCCACGGGATTGACAACTGCCCCTCAGTGGACCTCAGATGATGCCAACCCTGAAACAACATACAGAACTACCACATTTTGCTATAAGTTTGATTGCATCATATAATAATTGCTGTTAATAGTGTTCATCGTCTGTTTGATTACGTCTTTAATTGCCTTTTTCGTACATTTCTGCCATATGTACATTAACTTACAGTCACCACTGATAAGCTACTACTAAATATTGTAGAAACTTAATTTTCTGTAAAGATGCTTTGCAACGATTTGTATCATGAAAAGCACTATACAAATAAACTTGAATTGAATTGAATTGAATTGAATTGAAGGTTGCATTCCTATGACAGACGCTTCAGACCAGGGTTCACCAAACTTGATCCTGGAGGGCGTTGTAGCATTTTTCAAAACTGTGGTGAGAACTAACCATGCTGAAACAGGAGGTTTCCTGACCCTTTAAGGCAGTGGTTCTTAATCCTGGTCCTCATGACCCCCGCTTTGCATATTTGGCATGTCTCTCTTGTTTAACACCCCTTGATTTAGATAACCAGCTCGTTTGAAGAGAGCTCCATGATGAATGAACTGTTCCGATTGACATGCTCCCTACATAGAGTTCACTGCTCTCTATTCCCTGCACACGGGAAATTGGCTGAAGTTTATGTCACTTAAAAACACAGATTTGCATGACACCACTGTCTGCAGCGTCTCCACACACAGACAAAACTTACTCCAGAAGTGTGAAGGGTTATTTAACCGTAATCATGAGATTTGCATAGAAGTCACGTCTCGCGCACGTTAATACCCTTTGAATATAACATATACACTTCTTTTGAACTGGAATCATGGCAAAATATCCTGTGATGTCCACTTCACAGGGCACTTACTCATGTTCATGGGTGAATTCGGGTAATCTGGGACATTGGGTAATCTGGGACATCTAAGCTCCAGTGTGTTTATTTCCTGTTCTAACAAAATTTAGTCCCTAAATACCTAATGACAAGGGATAATATATGCTATAATGAGAAATGGGTGTTAATGTGGAGTACTGGAGGTTATAACATTAGCATAAGTTCACAGTAGCTAGCAGCTAGCTAAACCAGCTAGCTAGAGAAATGCTACAGAGATGGAATCTGGGAAACGTATTACAGTAGGAAGCAAAGGTATCAGGATGAAGTAAACTGTTAATTTCATTTCCCAAATCCCCAGTTAGTTTAGTATACAACGGTTGGGGGAGGAGGGGGAGCTGCGCCCAGGCCAGCTGACAATGTTCTGTACACAGACAAACGCACACACACACACACACACACACACACACTTCTCGTATTCTCATAGCTTTGTAAAATTATGGTTGAACCACTGATGTCACATGGTCAATTTTAACGATTTCCTTACTATGTTTCTCAGGGCCGTGCACAGACATTTTGAGGGGCAGTGGCCCAAACCAAAAAAGGGGCACTAGGGGGGTGGGTGCTTGTTAATACAAATGATCCAGCTGTTACAAATATACAATTAAAAGAGAAGACAGCACACTCTGTAATAATTTCAGACTTTATTGTAGATGTTTTGATAAGAATGGGCTCTCCCTCACTCTCTGAGCCTGCTTCTGCCTCATCTTCAATGGAAGTAGGGGAGAGTGGGGTAAGTTGAGCCAGTGGGTAAGTTGACCCACCCCCTGTTTCTTGGCAACTGTACACTTTTACTGTCATGTGACCATGTATTTTGGAACCACCCATCATTTCTGCCAGACTGTGAAAAGGAGAAACATATGGGGGGAATGGAAGGCACCCATTTACTTTAAAAACTATTTTTGGCTTGTCAAAGTAAAATTTTAGCATAACATATGGTTGTTACATCAAAGCACATTGATCCAGGTCTAAAAATATTTATGATACATATAGGGGATTTAGCAACATATAAAACCATACAAATCATTTAGCTAAATATTAGCCTGAACTGGTAAGCAACAGTAGCTATTTTTTCCATATGGCAGCTATGTGGCAAAGTAAGCCAAATGCTGTGGGGTAAATTGAGTCAGCATTTTAACTTACCCCATCATAAGGCACTGTAGTTAAGTTAAATATCTGAATTATAAATTGGAATTTTAATGTGATTGTCACAGTTATGGACTATTGTGTTTGTTTTCATTTGATCCCTCGTGTTCCATTGACCTAGTTTCTGTCTCCCCTTGATTGTGTCATTATGTTCAGGTGTGTCGTGTCAATTATCCTCCCCATATAAGTTGTATTCAGTTCAGTGTTTCTTCGTCCGGTCTCGTCAACGTGTACGTGTTTCTTATGCCTTCGTGTTGTGGATTACCTTGTGTGGATAATATTAAAGACTTTTACTTTCATCTTCATCTTCGTGCGAGTTCATTCTACACAGAACTGTGATAGAAAACCGGACCTATATAAAGTAATAGCACGTTTTCATAAGAACCAGAAAATGCTTTTCATCGCATTATAATCAGATATACTGTATCTTTCCACCTGTAGTCCCTAATGGCCAACAAACTCTCTGTTTCGTTTGTTTTTAGGAAGGCTACAACTTTACTGTTCAACATATTGTTTCAGAAATGCAAACAGTTAAATATTACCCCTAACCCGGGGCAAACTGAGCCATGGGAACACTTTTTTTTTATAAGAAGCAATGTTTTTAGAACCCTTTGTCATAGATACATACTGATCATTTAAAATGATAGGAATACTTTCATTAGGATAGGATATAAGATAGATACTTTCATTGTACTTCTGCATAATTTTAACTTATTTTGAGGACCACATAAGTAAAAAATGGCTAATCTTACCCCACTCTCCCCTATAAGTATTAGACATTTAATTTAATATTTTACAGCATAAATCTATATATATACTATTAAACAACTAATTTAGAACATTTCTACTATTTTTTTTTACTATTTTATAGGCCTACTGTTAATATGGTTTTAATAAAATATGATGTGTTATAGATTACTAGTATCAAGACAAGTGATTATAATGGGAAATATACTTAATTACAAGAATTAAAGTGTGACAAACTGCTAAATATTCTATATGATGATTTACCTGCTGGCTTGCTGGAGCTTTGTATTCATGATTGCAATGCTGAACTGCCTTTAGCAGCCTCCCTTCGCTCTTTCTCTCTGTCTCTGTCTTCTTTTTTTTTGTCTACAAAGTGTGTCAACAACAGCAAATTTTGTGTTATTTATATTAGATATGATCGGGTACAATAATTTGATTAGATATTCTAATTCTAAGAACGTGGATATTTTGTTGTTATCACTTTTAAAAGACCGAGAGCAAATCATTACCGACAGAAATACAAAAACAAACTACCAAATTACTAATTCAGCGAATCATCCACTGACTGTAATGTGGATTGTAAAGCATCTACCTGTTAATGCAACGACATTGGGAACTGTGGTCTCCACTCCAGAGAGCAGCACACAGATCGTGAGAAATGCTGTGGAGCGGGCAGGAAAACACGGAGCAGATTACCAGAATCAGCGGATCTTTAGCGGAGCGGGAACAGACTGCTTTGAGCTGGGGTGATGGGGGGGGGATTGGTGAGAGGGGCAACTCAGCTGATGAGGGCAAAGGGGCAGTGGCTCTAGCCACCGGGCCACCCCCCTGTGCACGGCCCTGATGTTTCTGTATGTTGACCATGGTAGTACCCTTGCTGTCTATGGAGGTTCAGAGAGCTCTCAGATTTAATCAAAACTATCCTAATTTGTGTTCCAAAGATGAACAAAGGTCTTACTGATTTGGAATGACATAAGGGTGAGTTTTGAGTAATGACAAAATTCTCAGATTTGGGTGAACTATCCCTTTAACCACCATTTGCACCCTGGGCGCCACAGCAAAAATGACTGCCCGCTGTTCCAGATGTGTGAGTATGGGTTACACTTGGCCTCCACATCACTTCACATTTATTTTTTTTAATAACTCTGCAAGTACCTTGCTTGTTATTTTATGTTTCAACCACAGATAGCTAGAAAAATGCATGCAAATAACTTAAAATGAATTAATTTACAGTGCATTCTATTATAGATGACCATCTATATTTCATAGCTCTTGAAATACTTTGCTGTAATTATGTAATTTTCATGACCAGTTAAAATTGGTCTTTTTTTTATCCATATGTAACTCTGAGAAATTTACTAATACGAGAGGAAATATTCTGTACTAAAGTTTGGGTACTAACAAGTAGGCTATCTTGCTTCATGTATTTTAGGGACAAATGAAGGAGAGTAAGCCATCAGATGTGATCTTATCTACAACCAAATTTCTCATTTGTTTACAGGCTTTCCACCAATATCAGAATAGAATCTAAATACCACCTTAAATCTAACAACACTCTTTTCCAGTGTCTTTTTTTGTGAATGAGATGTTGTCATATAAAGAGAGTGTAGTTTTAAAACTGTACTTTGTCTCCATCTGCTGGTCAGTTTTGAAATTTCTAACTGTTTATTTCAAACGTTTTCCTGATAGGTCGTTATGTGCCGTCTATTGTTTGTATCCATTGTCGGTAATGAGAAATGCATAGATTTGCAAACTATGTTAAATATGTTTCTTTCTTTCTTTCTTTCTTTCTTTCTTTCTTTCTTTCTTTTTACATCTCCCCATGAAATCACATCCAAGTACTAGCTGAGATTGCACAATCCTGAAAGCCCGCCCAGCTCAAGCAGCTTCTTTAATTGTACCTAACTTCCTAAAAGTGAAAGTAGACTTTCTCCAAATCTTCAGTCTCAGCAAGCTGTAAGTACACTTCTGTTAATTCATGAACTCAACTTGCTCGAACAGCTTGGTCATGCTAATTGGAATGTGGCATAATTGTGAATTAAATGTAGTTTTATTAATTCATTGCTATAGGCTAATCAAGATGTGGACATAGAAATGTTGAGGATGTATAAGAAATATAAATATGTGTTTTATTATACTTAAAAAAGTAGAAATTAATGCATTCTTTAAAAAGTACAATTTTATCTCAGTTAAAATATTATCCTGAGTAGCCTCTATCTGGGCACTTTCTTCTCAATACCTCTATTTTGGTGTTGAATTCAAACATTTGAAAGTACTGAATCAAAATCAACACAAATCACTAACTGCACAGACAAAGGCCCCTTTGAAGCAAAGTCTTGCTCAATAGTGATACGAGTTTAACTTGTCCCTGTTCCTTAGAAACAGTTGGGAACTAAACCATGCTGCTTTTGTTTGAGCAGCCAACCACCTGAAAAAAAAAATGTCATCATAAAAACATCCTTAAAAACTGCATATTAATTGATAAAATATAATGCTATTTTAGCTGAAGAACACACGCATTTCCTGTACATTTTTAAAAGCATGCAGTAAACAGCATGTAACTGATTGCAGATTGCAAGATTAAAATTAAAAAGAGAGATCAAATAGGGAAGTTCTTATTTGTTTTGCTGAGAAAAGGCAAGATACTATTAACAGCTATGATTTTATTTTTTTCCCAGAATGTGTTGCATCTTGTGACAACACAAAATGACAGCTATTGAAGTCCAGGGAAACCCACAGACATCGAGACCTTGCAGATCAATGGGTCTCTTTAACAATATCAAGGTAAGATTCCAAATATAATGTCTCAGGTTACTTATGTAACCATGGTTCCCTGAGAAGGGAATGAGACACTGCATCCTCTAGAGGTTGCTATGGGGGAACGCCTTCAGCATGACTGGTGTCTGAAGCATACATCTAAACACGACAATAACATTGGCCGGCGACAGCCTGTGACGTCATCACCCGGCACGACCACAGTATAAAAGGGTGCAGGGAGAACATGTCATCCGTTTCTTTGTCTGAAGCTTATGTCTGAAGCATGGCAGGGGAACTAGAGGACGCAGTATCTCGTTCCCTTCTCAGGGAACCATGGTTACATACATAACCTGAGACGTTCCCTTCCGAGGGAACGAGACACTGCGTCCTCTAGAGGTCGCTATGGGGAACGGTATACCCATGCCGTCATGCTGAGGGAAGTGCATGCCAGAAACCACGGTGAGCACTAAGTACCAACTCTACCATAGCCATGGGAGTTGCCCCAAGGACGTCTTGACGGCTGTTAGTGGCATTATCCCCTTCGGCCAAGGGCCTGAGCTGCATACCCTAAAAGAACTTACCTGTTAAAGGTGCCATAGAATGGAAAACTGTATTTACCTTGGTATAGTTGAATAATAACAGTTCTGTACATGGAAATGATATACCATGAGCCTCAAACACCATTGTTTCCTCCTTCTTATGTAAATCTCGTGCATGCAAAAGACCACTGAAAAATAGACGAATCAGAACATAACACTCACTGTGACGTTACAGTCGGGATCTCTAACAGTTACGCCCCCAACATTTGCATATACCCGCCCATGTTCTATGCCAGCCACCCGCCGAACCTGCACAGCCGAATCATCAGAGCTGCCGCTGTAGTTTACACAGAACATGTGCGATCACAAATCTTGAAAGTGAAAGTACATCGTGCATTCGAAAGCAGTTTCAATGCCACGCATATTAATAGCGGCTCCCTGATGCCCGCATTTTATATACAGTATAATTACCCAACGATATAACTGCGAGAGACAGTTGAAATATATATTTTCCCTGTGATTCTTTCCTGCTGTGTGAGCTACTGAAATGAGCTGCACTGTGAAACAGCCAATCAGAGCAGAGCTCAACATTGAGCCGCATGGAGATTTTTTGCCCTTAAATAAGTACAATTTAAAATATTGTATCAATGCATTCTATGGCACCTTTAAGGGCTGGACTAGGAAGCCTAAGCCTATGGCAGAGCTCAAGGCTTGGAATCAGAAAAAAATAGATTCCTTTAAGGGGATACGACGAGGTGTCTAAACACCAAACCAGACCCTGGCCTGCCACCCAGGGGGGCTGCCGCCGGTTCTGAATATACCTGCTCAAAGAACTGACTCGACAGATCTTTGGTAGCAACACCCTGCTCAGAAATGTATCAACAGAGATACATAGGTTGAGTGGAGCCCAAGGCGAGAACCGGGGCCTAAACCAACTCAGAGAAAGGGATCGAGGCTCAACAGGGAGGCGGAGAGAGGCCTAACAACCTGAGGCCGCTACTTAATGGAGCTCAAACGAGCGGAGGACTCGATGAGAGAAGACCACAGACGCTCAGTCGGGAGCGGCAGGCTCAAAGACATCCCTCCGAGGGGAACACTGCCTGGCTTGACCCAAATAGAGGCAGCCTATCACGGAAGCAGCAAGCGGCCCAACTACCTGATGTCACAGCCATGGAGCTCAAGAGCGGAGGGTTCAACCCCTAGGGAGGAGAGAGAGGAACCCAGCTCAACCAAAGTGATCAATAGCCGAGGGTCAGGGGACCTAACTCTCAAGTCGAGAGGAGGACTCACCCAGTCTGCCCAGGCCCGGTGAGCTCAAAGGGACCCTCCCGCAGTGAGGGGAGCACAGCCATGTCCGGGGAACAGATAGATCGCAAATGGGACATCAGAAATGGGATCCTGCTAGAAGGGGATCACACATTTCTACAGGTAACAACAGGTTCCCAAAATAAAGACAACTGACCAAGGAGGCGACAGAGACGGGCCTAACACTCAGTTCGTTGCAATTGGGGTTTTTCGGGAGCAGCGCTCTCGGCTCTCAATCTGAGGCGGGCCCTTACAGCACATACTGGGAGCGACTCATAGCTAACCCTCACAGTTAGAGGAGCACCAGCTCAGCTCAGCTCGACCAGAAGGAGGCGCTAGATTAGAAGGGGTAACCCAGCAGGGCCCAATAAGAGACAGTCCACTGGTGCAGCTGGACACGGTCTCATGCTATTTTGATAGAGAGCGTGGGTCCCGTATAACCAGACCCGATAGAATCTGAAGAAATAGTGGGACCCAATAACCATTCATGCGTACAGAGCTTACTGCTCCTCAGAGCAGAAGCATACAAGAGGGGTTTTCCGCAGAAACACAAATCCCTCGTACCTCAGGGAACGCAGTGTACTCAAGCCCACTCCACAGAGGGGCAATTACTGGTTCAACCATAAGGGCAGTGTGATAGGGAGGACCCGCGGGCCTGATCGTCTATGGAGTGTTGAGCCCCTCAACACCTCAGCGAGAGGAGCTCTAGCTCAGTGAATGTGCATGATGGTTTAGGAAAGACTCAAATCTCAGGAGACCCCTCAGCATGAGAAATGAGTAGCGCACCCTGGCCAGAGGATAGAGAGCATGTCACGAAGCATGTACTCAGAAGAGTACTAGCCCGTGAGAAGGACCCGCAGGTCCTGAGGTTGCAGCGTTATACTGGGGACCTGATGCTGGGAGGCTTCCGCAGAAGCCCAGGCTGTGTGTCCAAACCGAAGATGAGGGCTATCACCAGCCTGGATCCAGTACCGATGAGTGAAACCGTCATTATAATCGGTCAACAGCAGGAGGTCCTGACTTATCAGGGGGGTCAAACCTAAAAAGTCAGAAAACAGAACAGGTCTGAGTAGCGCTGCAGAAAAAGGCTAGTATCGAATACACAAAAACTAGCAGTAGAGTAGATGAAATGGATCGTACTCACCAACCATGGCTCCCGCGCATGACTCAGGCTAGAGCATGTCACGAAGCATGTACTCAGAAGAGTACTAGCCCGTGAGAAGGACCCGCAGGTCCTGAGGTTGCAGCGTTATACTGGGGACCTGATGCTGGGAGGCTTCCGCAGAAGCCCAGGCTGTGTGTCCAAACCGAAGATGAGGGCTATCACCAGCCTGGATCCAGTACCGATGAGTGAAACCGTCATTATAATCGGTCAACAGCAGGAGGTCCTGACTTATCAGGGGGGTCAAACCTAAAAAGTCAGAAAACAGAACAGGTCTGAGTAGTGTTGCAGAAAGGACTAGTATCGAATACACAAAAACTAGCAGTAGAGTAGATGAAATGGATCATACTCACCAACCATGGCTCCTGCGCATGACTCAGGCTCATGGATATAGGCTGGAGGTGAAGTCCGAAGAGCACTGGGGTCCGGACCATAAGTAGGTATTTCTATGAGACATAGAAACTAGACAAAACATCATAGGTCCAGCATAAGAGACTGCAATGCAAGCGCAGGAAGCTCCTACTTAACCTCAGTCAGGAGGGAAGCTTTTTAGGGGAATTAAGGGGAGGAAGATGAGAGCAGATGTAATACTCTCAGAGGGAGATGAGTAGATGGCTCAAGTTTTACTTTGGTCCAGACAAGAGCGTTGAGAACACCTAGTCTGGATCACCTCCCTCAAATCTTGCCTGTCACCCTTAGACCCACGCCCCTTTTGAGCCCTACCCGCAGGCAGGGCAGGGGTGCGAGTCGCAACACTAGTCTTCTGAGCATGCCTTTGATCCTTAGATTGAGACGGGCCAGGACCCCTTTGTTGTTCGGGACCTGGACCTTCGTGGAATGAAGAATTTGAAGGCAGCGAAGCACGTCTTGGCCTCATTAAACTTCTCGACCACTGTCTCGACGGAAGTGCAGAAAAGCTCAGAAGGGGAAACTGGCGCATCAAGAAGAAAGCCCTTCTCTTTCGACCCGATATCTGCCAGATTCCCCCACAGATGTCTCTCCATAACCACCATGGACGCCATGGATCTGCCAATGGCAGTGGCAGCCTGCTTAGTGGCACGGAGAGCAAGAACTGTGCTGCGACACAACTGACCTTTATCTAGGTCTTTCAGCACATCAGCCTGATAAGCCTGAAGCACCGCCATGGTATGCAACGAGGCTGCAGCCTGACCCGCTGCTGCGTATGCCCTGCCATTCAAACGAGATGTATTCTAAAGGGGTTTGGACGGCAGGGAGGGAGCCTTAAGAGAAGATGTCTCCCCCATAGAGAGATAGCAGGCCAGCGTCTCTTCGTGAGACGAGAATGGATTTTTCCAAGACTTCTCTTCTCTTCGCGTATGAGCAGCTCATCATATGTGGGGCAGGAGGATGGGGAGGACTCAGTCTCGACTTTGTCCTCATCTGACATCTATTGCTCATCCTGGCTTTGAGCCAGCAGAGCACCAGCCGCTGGATCAGACGATATAAGAGAGATATCATCGTCGTCCAGCAGCTCACTCTCGTGCTCTTCGCCCAAACAAAAGACGCAAAGATTGTGTGTGTCATCAGGTGTCAAGTAACAAGGACACGGATCCACACACTTCTTAATCGCCTTATTAGTGCTCAACATGGTAAAGAAGAATAATCGTTCTTACCGGAAATGCACACTTCAAACAAAACAGTCCTTGAAGACGAAGAAGAAGATGACGTGTTCTCCCGGTGCCCTTTTATACTGTAGTTGCGCCGGGTGGTGATGTCACAGGCTGTCGCCAGCCAAAGTTATTGTCGTGTTTAGATGTATGCTTCAGACACCGGTCACACTGAAAGCATTTCCCCATAGCGACCTCTAGAGGACGCAGTTCGAAGTTCGCTCGGAAGGGAACCCCTAATTATATTCATAGAAATATGACTTCTCGAATGAAAGTGTCCAGTGACACAACTTTCTCCACATTAGGAAAAAGCTAAATCATGCCAAAATATACGATAAACAATTTAATATGCAATACATGATTTAATATGCAACAGAGAGAGAGGTGATAACT